GGCATAGGAGGTGGGTTGAAAAGGCGGGAAGAGATATCGTTAGGATAGACAGATTAGGTAATACATTTTTGAGCCACCTTTGGCAAAGTAGAAAGGAACGATTGGCCATCGGTGATCGGTCCTGTGGGAACAATGCTCCGTCCTCTCGAGGACGCGTGGTCAATGGTCTAACCGCTAAGGCATGCAAAACATAAGAGTACCCCCCCACACACACACACATATACTCTCCAGATCGGATCTTGCATCGAAGTACTCCAAAAAAGCCCGCCTGCTTGATACAATATACGATCTGGAAGTCCTCTGTGAATAATCTTTCAAGCAATATAAGAACACAAATTACCACGTGAGAAACATCCTCTACAATACTGGCCACGCAAAAATCACAAAGCGTCTCCATCAGTTTATCCATGAACCCAATGTGTTCGCCCCTTGAGATAATCTCCAACCGTCAACACAACAGAGTCATCCTCAGAAGATTACCCAACAAGTATCTGCGCTACATCAGAAAAGCGTTGGAACGGTGAGGGACAAATCTGGAAAAACCGCTTCAAAAGCGTTGACACAACATCCTCGAACAAAACTAAGTTTCAACTTCTTGACCAATAATAACGAGCATTCGGAAAGTACGAAGACCCCAACCATTACCCGTCAAAACATGTCAATTTTTTTCTCCGATATAGCGTCCAAAGACGAAATCCTAAGCAGTGCGCACATGCGAATCGGTGCCTCAGCTATTGTCCAAAAGACGATATAAAACATGAATAGTCATGCAAACAACCCCTGCTGCACCGGAACATACAAATTCTGTGCCACCCTTTTTTCACTGGTTTTGGCTCAAGACAACAATATCAATACCAATATCAATACGTAACAGCCCCACAACATCCCTCCCCAACTATTCGTGGTAGCAGTAGGCAACAACATTGCTCGCACGCTGCATCAGAAAAACACAAATCAAAAACAACAATTCAAAGATATCGGCCCTCCAGCCTGTCGACGTTGCATACACAAGAGAAACATCAATGCGTTCGCCGGTGGTGCGCCATGACAACACATTCCCTCCCCCTGATTCTTGACGCAAAACTCAGCAGAAATAACACCGCAGAAAAACTCTGAAAAAAATCAGGCGTCACAAATATTCCTCACAAATAAATCACGGTGGAAGCGAAAACGAACTTGTGCAGCGGTTTCGTGAGACAGTCCGCATGTTGGAAAGTCGTGGGCACGTGCACTATCTTAAACTCCCCCCGCGCTACGCGCTCTCGAATACAGTGGTGGCGAATGTCGATGTGCTCCCAATTCGGCATGGTGGCGGGGTTGACCGCTACACTAGGTGAATCGCCCCCTGGTTATCCTCGAACACAAACAACGTGCACTCGACATCGCGACGCGGAAAGATAAAACGCCAAACGTGTCGCAAGAAAATCGCCTCCTTCAGTCCGTCACCCATCGCAGAATCCTCTGCTTCAGTCGACGAAAGCGTCACACTCTTCTGTGTCCTGGACAATAACGAAACACATGCACCAGCGCACATCACAACCTCGCCCGAGACCGACCGCCCGGTCAGTAGCCCTGCTGGCGTAGTCGGAGTCAACATATAAACCAACGCAAATGGACACCCTCCCTTGAACCCCGCAATATAATGTAATACCAAGAGCACTCGTGAACCTAATATACATGGCAATATGCAACGCAGCCCGCCCGTGTACACTCTTGGGCGCGTGGGAATACTTCGCAACGGATCGTACGGCGTTGAGGATGTCCGGTCGCGTCTGACTAGCAAGCCACATGACATGCCCTACCAAGGACCGAAAAGGTTCCAGAACATCGGTTCGTCCGCAAGAAAATCGTCAAGCCTCACTCCGCGCGTGTATCGTGGTAGGGCTCCCCGTGCCTTCCCACGGAGGCTACCGTGCCCACCCACGGTAGTATGGTGATGTCTGGGGACTATGTTAGCCCAGGACCGATGCAGATGGATAGAACCTTGATTATAACACACAGTGCTGCTTCCAGCACAATATAACGCAGTATATTGTGCAGACACAGTGAGCACATGTGCATGCTCTCTCTCTCTCGAGGGTCCAGACACTTGAACCCCCAATAGCAAACCCCCCCCACACATATAAACTCCAGATCGGATCTTGCATCGAAGTACCCCAAACAGAGCCCTCGTTATACCGTTTGCTGCTCAAGCTGCCCGCGGATGAGTGGGAACCGAAAGGTTTCGACCGAGGCATTGACAAGCTGCTGGACTACGGTGTGCCCAACGGCACGGCGTACAGCAAGTTCGTTACGAAGTTCAAGGCTTTGGCCATGTCGGAGTCGGCCTCGCGCAGGGCTTGCGCGCCGGATCTTCCCATGGTACACAGCGTGCGCTTAGGGACGCCTTGTTAGAGGAGTACCCGAATGTTCTTTCGCCTTTGCCGTTGAAGGAGAAGGTTTTCAACAACGTGGTGCTTGGTGATCAGGATGAGCTTTGGGATGCTTTGTCGTCGGAGGCAGGACTAACACACCCGCCCGCTGTAATGGCGAATCCTATATTACCACTGTTACTTGTACGTTTTCATCGGCGCTCACACGAGCCATGACCGTTGTGCAGCAGCGACCGCCACCGCCGCCGCCGCTGCAGCCATCCGCTTGGTCACCGAAATCACACGTTCCCGCTGGGGTGATGCCCATCGCCCCAGTACCGTCTGATACTACTTGTCCATGCGAGCAAGATGACGACTGCTGGCCGTTGCGTGGCCATTACGGCTACGTGTTCAGCGTTGTGGCGAGTATGACTCGCTTGGATCCCCTTTGTTCATTCACACCGCTTTTGACCCTTGCTGACCGCGCACACGCCTTGCGGCAATTTTCTGGCCAATGTCTCAGCTGCGGGTAGGTGGGCCACAGCCTAAAAGAATGCCCGAATGCTTTCGCCAATTCCGCCGGCCTTTTGAACCCGGCCACAGCTTCGCAAGCTGATAGCGTCAAGGTCTTTCCACGTTGTTGGCAAAGTCGCATGAAGTCTCACCGCCCGCGTGCGAACTATCGAAGTGGCTCAGGTAAGACTAGCGGCCATACACAGGGCGAAGGCCGCGGCTTTGGGAAATGCAAGTCCGAAATAACACTCACCATCTCCGGCGCCGGCCGCAGGCGCCGCCGCGGCCTCGGCGTCCGCCGCGATTGCTGGCGCCCCGGACGCGCAGAATTCCGGAGCCCCACATTCGCGTGGTAACTGACACGCCGGTGACGGCCTTTTGCACACATCGCCGTCAACAGCACCGGGTGTGCGCTTTACTACTAGTTTTCAAGACATTCGCGTTGCACGGACGCCTTCGGGTTCGCCTCTGCTAGTTTCCCTACCGTTTATATTCCCAGACGTCGCCTCACGCCTCATTACAGCCTGTTTTGGGCGACCGTCGTGGCTCGTCGGCGCCGAATACAGCGTTGTTGTGTGGGCGCGGAACCGACAAGACTTCGGGTGTCTCACGGACGCTCGCCCCGATGTCTACGCGCCCTGGAGGCATGGCTTCCGCCTCCCACCGTTTTGGTGGGTCCGGGTGGTCTCGTCCACCCTGTCGGAGCTCATGGACCCTCGGGACAGCCTCAAGCCCGCCGGGGTGGATTGGGTACGCTCGTACCCACCGCGTCCCCTCCAGACACTACGCGACGTTCCTCTGCGGGGTATCAACGTCGCACGTTGCTGACTGCACTCCTGTTGCCGAGCGCAAGCAACGGTTTTCCCAAACCGGAAGGATCATGTTTTTTGTCACGAAATAGCTGTACCGAGCCTCTCGCGTTCGCTGGCAATGTTGGCCGAGCGCCCGCGACGAAGACCGTTTTTGATGAACAGGCCTACGCCGATGTATTGTGCGAAAACTCCTGCGTTGACTGCTTTTGCTTTCGCACGCTTCTACGGCTGGTTCACCGCTTTTGGTGGCTCTCCTCATAAGCCGCAATCCGGCCCGTCCTCGGGCGGATTGTCCTGCCGGTTGCGGGTGCCATTTCCCTTGACGATATTTCTTCGGGGAAGGTACCCGCGCGGCAGGCCCTCGTTTCCTACGATAGCCACGAATATTACAAGGTGGAGGTTTTCCTCTTTCGGAAACTGCCACCCTTTTCGTCCGTGTGGACGCATTGTGCGTTCATCAGGTCCACAGTGTTCGCTGTGTGTGCGGCGAGCAGTTCATGATGGCGGAAAAAGTCCCATTATTGGCAATGGTGTCACCTGTGCCAAAGTCATGGCTGCCTCCGACCCGAAAGAACACAAGTCCCTTGGAAGAAAGGTGCGCAGTTTTGACCACGCATTATGCGGGAGCTTAGACGCGAGGACGTTGTCTTTTCGCTGTTGTATGCAAAATGCGCCCATTTTCCTGACGCGCGCAATCGTTTGCTGGCTTCGGGAGACAGACAAGTTGCGGAGGCTAGTCCCGTTGACGGATTTGGGGGAATTGGCGTCGATGCCTTCGATCTGCGTGCCACGTCGCCCTCCCAATGGCCTGATCAGAACCTCTTGGGTAAAGGACTCGGTGCGATGCGCGCGCTTCTGCGTGTGCGCCCGGTCGAACCCGACGAGCCTTTGCGGCCGGAACACCCGGGGCTACCTGCCCTCGTGTGCTCCACTATCCATGAAACTGCGCCCCGGGGTGACGATGAATCTCTAGCGGACGATTCTTCCTCCGAGGACGCAAGTGGCCCGTTGGATGTGCCGCCGAACACACCCGCGGACCACCCGAAGCAGGTGTTGCACATTACCTCTGCCGCTTTTTGCGACGTCGTCACTTCCCCAACGCCGTTATTGGAGGGACATGGCCCAGATTCGGTGAGCGGTGACGTTTTAGTGGATTGCGATACCCCTACGACGTGTGTCCTTGTGCAAAGTGGTACCGGAGCAGTGTATACCGCGTCTGGTGTGACCCTTTTGGACTCGGGCTGACGGTCACCTTTCACTAGAGAGGCTTTTTTCAAGTCATGGAAGCGTCAGGAGCTGCATCTGTCTACAGTCGTCGTTCGATGTCCGTTCTACAGTGGGGTGCTTTTGGCTCTGGCTCTGCCCTTAAAGCCACCTCCTCCGTGCGGCTGTCCGTTCAGTACTTTTACGGTGGTAGCACCATCGCCTCGTTTGCGGTATGGGCATATGTTGTATCTGCTGCCGCCATGGGTCACGCCCTGCTTCTTGGACGTGATAGTTGGGAGCGCAATAACTCTCGCTTGTCCATTACTTTCGCCCGCGCGGTCCGCCAGCGGACGCAATATGGAGAAAATTTCTCTGTGTCGAATTTTGTGGCGGGAACTTTCGGCGTATCCCGTTGGACCTTCCGCCCTGGGGGTTCTTACTACCTGAGGTTCGCCGCCAGGAAGGGTCTCTCCCTTTCCGATAAGCCCACATTGACGAAGATGAACCTCGTTCGCAATTCCGGCATTCCCGCTCTCATCTGCAGTTACCCTGTCGCGTTTTTACCGGAACACGGCGCGCTCTTTTGGTGTCGTAGGGGTTCGTTTCGGACGTGCCTCAAAACATCCGTTTGACTGGATGCGCCGAGTTAGAGCCTAGTAACGTGCTTCGAGTGGAATGGCGACTGCTCCACTTGTGCAGATCCCGCTAGCGTCATTTGATCCTACGCAGCGGGCGGCCGCGGGCGCTGGGTCGGGTGACCCTGCGTCGCCAGCCGATTCCGAGGCTGCACCGCCGTCTCCCGTGGATTCTTTGCGTTCCAACATCCCGGTTGCAACATCTCGGACTCTCCCGCGGCCTCATTGCCGCTGAAACCGCCGCCGCCGGATCTGGTGGACGCCATTCGAAAGCGCAGCGAGTCAGTTTCCGCGATTTGTAGAAAGGCTTGCGTGCACATTTGCGCGATGTTGCTTTTGATTTACATGACTCGAGTTGGACCCCGGAAGCCTTTAACAGCTTGGCGGATGTGCTGTGTGACTTTCCGGATGTGTTTTCGCGGTCACCGTCTGATTTCGGTTGTTTTTCCGTGAAACGGTTTCGATTGGAAGTGCCCCCCGGCACGAAATCGCTGGCTTCGCGTCCGAATAGGCTAAACCCTTTCATGGAGAAAAGGTCGATGCCATTCTCGATCAATACCTTGCTGCCAGTCTATTCAGCACTCGCAATCGCCGTGGGCGAGTCCTTTGGTTGTTCTCCCTAAAAATGCCGGCAATCTTCGTATGACCGTGAACTATGTACGAAAAGCTTAGCAATTTGTGCAGCCTTGGTCAACAACCGCAACCGCGTGTTGACCACATCATCGATTCCCTGCACAAGGGCAAGGTGTTTTTTTCCATCGTTGGCCTGAACTCCGCTTTCCAGATTACAGTGGGAGAGGACAAGGTTCAGCTTACGGTGTTTCGAATGCCCACAAAACATTTCGAGTGTGTCAGGATACCTCAGGAGAGCTCCGTTGCACCGTCGTGGTTCGCCATGGTCATGAACGAGGTGGTTAAGGGTCTGGAACAAAGCGTTTGCGTACTTAGACGATGCGATAGTGTTTGACATGTCGCCAAGATACGGGAAAGTTTTTTAGCTTGCACACGTACAACCTCAAGCTTTCTCCTTTCAAGTGTCGCGTTGGGGCTAAGGAGGCTGTGTACTTTTAGGCCACACCATCTCCCCTGCGGGCGTTAGCCCTCGTGCTGATAAGGTCGAAGCCTTAGAAAAGAATGCCGCTGGCCAACGTCAAGCCGCTTCGTTCCTTGTTGGGTGGGCTTTGTACTACCGCAAATTTATCGAGGGTCTGGCCGTGCGCGACCACTCACCGACATGTTCTTCGTGAGGACGCCAACTTATCTTTTACGCGAGACATGGCGAATACTATCGAAGTCCTCTTGGCGAAACTCTCTGAGCGTCCGGTTTGTGCTTTTCCGGATTGGGACGCTGTCGCGGGTGGCAGCCGCCCTCTCCGGTTTTGCTGTGACGCCTGTGTGGATGGTGTTGGTGCGGCGCTCTAACAAGAACACGCCGATGGTTCCGTCCGCCCCATTCTGTTTGTGAGCCGCGCTACGCTCGAAGTCGAGCGCGATTGGACTGTGTTGGACGTGGAGGCTGAAAAATATCGTGCGGGAAAAAACCGCATGCGGGGTTACTTTTGAATCACAAGGCTTTGGAGAGCATCGTCAAGGTGGGCGAACAAAACACCCGCGTGTAACGTTCGCTTGTTCCTTCCCTCTTTCAATTACAACCTTGTCTACCGTAACGGCGCTGCCAGCGCCAATGCGGACTCTCTATCGCGGTTGCCTTTGCCGGCGACCGACGCTGACAGACACGGTGACACCAGTATCGCATTCGATGGCGCCGCGGGCGCATTGGTCATCCGTGCGTGCGGACGGAGCCATCATTCTAGATCGATGCCGAATGTCAGCTTGGGTGGGCTTGCCCCTGGCGAGCGACGAGACGCGTTGCCATACGCGCCTTTGACGGAGGATGACTTTGGGACCTTTCACCGTTTAGGGCCGCAAATGGTCATGCCGCCCCGGAGTTCCCTCCGCTTGTGAATTCGTCGGTCGTTTCGTCCTCTGGTGTAATCCCTGTCGTTGACGATGCAGTCCCCGTACGTTCTGTGCCCGATGGACCTCCTCCGGCTTCCGTTCCTGCGGAGCCAGACGTCGAAGCAAGCACTGGCCGTCGTTTTGCCCAGAACGACGCGGCCTGTTCGGAAGCCAGCTCGGTCGAGCAGTGGTGCGCCGTCACCGCGAGGCGCGGGCCGCTCTACTTCTGGCTCATCGCCTTCAACGGCGTCTGCCGAGCCTCCGCCCCCGCCGGAGGCCACGCGTGCCCCGCCATCGTGGCCGCCCGCGCCGGTGCCGCGGCGCCAGTACCGTCGCCCGCTAATACTAGCCCCGAGCCTCGCGTGACGCCGCCCAGGTCGCTGAGGAAGCTCACCTCCGCGAGTGTGTTCATAAACGTTCGCGATTGCGCTCGGGAACAGCTGTCGGAAGTGAGTGCTTGGAGGCTACACATTTTCTATCTTTGGGATCCCCGACGGTATTGCCGGATATTTTCTGAAATTCCTTGCCTTGTGCGTGGCGGCCAGCGTTGTCTGATGCCGTCGCCCTCGCGTCCAAAACATGCCTGCACGCTACGGATGATCGTACGAGGTTGTTGATGAAAAAATTCGCCCCATTGATCATAGGTAGTTAGTTCGGGCTGGCGTTTCGCCTTCCACCTTCGAAGACTCCGCGGATATACGTGCCCATGTTATTGCGGCCTTCGTTTTGGCAAGGTTGCCACACAACCGCGCCTGTCACCTGGGCGCCGCTCGTACTTTACGTATGTTGGCGCGGTTTTTCTGGTGGAATGGATTTTTAGTTCTTTTTGTCTTCAAATCAGCGCTCACGGCACTGGTGCCGTTTACAGTCGAGGGACTCTTTTAGTGCCGGTACGTGCACAGAGCGTTCACCGGCACTAAATCGGGCACCCGGCACTATTGCGAATAGTGCCAAAACGGCACTATTGAGGGCTGGCCGATCCCTCATTAGTGCCGGTACCGGCACTAATGAGGTTGTGTTCGATTTATGGTGTAGCGCCCACGCTTACGGGGCCAACAAAGAACGAAATGGATCGACACTATTACTGTACTGTTGAGTGAAGTTCCACCATGGGCGTGGGCAGAGTTGAGTTTTCTTTTTGTTGTCTTGGGGCGCTCTTTGGTTCTTCATTTTTTTCTGCACCTCACTTATTTGCTTATTTGTGTACGGTCGTCGGGACAAATTCTCTCCTGTTTGCCTGGCGCACCCGCTTCGATGTTGCAAGAAAAAAAAAACAAGCACGACAGGCAGCGCACCGCAAAAAATCAAACAACCGTTACCACAGCTGTAACCCCTGCCCTCACTACTGTACGTCGGGACAAATTATCTCCTTGTCTGGCGCACCCGCTTCGATGTTGCAAGAAAAAAAAAATGACATGCACGACGGGCAGCGCACCGCAAAAATCAAACAACCGTTTTTTTAGTGCCACAGCTGTTCCCCGCCCTTACTCCGTAGCAACAAACTCCCTCATGTCTGCCTGGCGCACCCGCCTCTTGGAATGCGCTGCAATCATCGCCATCTTCGCTTTCGCTAGGTAGAGCGCCGCGTCTCCATTGCCGCTCTCCTCTGCTGCCGCTTCCAGGACGCCGAAGTGAGACGACAGTTCACCATAAGCCGGTGGGACACGGCGCGCGAGCCCCGTGTTGTCATCGCCGCTGTCCTCCTCCTCGTCCTCCTCCTCGCGGCCGGTAGACACTCGAGTCCCAGCCAGCTGTGCCGTCATGTCTTCCACCTTGATGGCCTCCTTGTTGACGCTACCAGCCTCGCCATGAAGTCTCACGCTGTCGATGCTGTTGCGCTTCACGAAGTTCCTGGCCCACCTTTCGCCGGCCTTGAAATCCTCGACCCTCGCCTTCACTTCCTTAGAAGCTGCTGGATCAGCCAGCAGGGTTGCCCTGGCGGCACGGCCGAAGCTTCGAAGGACGTCGCGCGTGACGGGCATCTTGGTCTTCCGGGCTTTCTCTAGTAGGTCAAGAGCTATGGCGTCCACCTATTGACCGTCAAACGAGGAGTAAACAATAAAGAGGGTACAAAAGATAGCACGATTAGTTTCGAACATTAAGCCTCGTTGCACAGTGCATCGTAGTGGGAAGGAAACATTTCCGGGCATTTGAAAAACCACAGAAGCTCGCCGCTGCATCCGCATGTGTATTTATGTATTGTAACTCGTTTGAAAGAATAGGTGTGCGTGCGATGTAATGTACCAGTACAGTACAAACAAGTACACATTTTTGGTTCGCAGTTTATATGCTGGCGCAGCAGCGCACGAACGATAAAACAACAAAGAAAGTTGAAAAAAAAGGTAACACAAAAAAAGACACAAACGAACGACGAGAGGGAATAAGCTCAACAAGTACTGTAACAGTCGAGAAATAGAAGAAACATGGGGAAAGGGAACAGAGAACAGGGAACAACTTGACAAGAGAAGAAGAAAAAAGAACAAGAACATCAGATAGACGAACAAGGCTACAGAAAAAGGTCCTTGCAAAAACGAAAACTCTTTGCAAACAAGGCCCGGCAAAAAAAAAAAGGCAAAGAAGGCGCGGGAACTACGCGTATTTTTTTAAAACAACAGCAGAGTAGCGCACCTCCGGATTATTGCCTGTGCGCACGTTTTTCTTGCTTCCTCCGCGTCCTGCAGCAGCCTCGGTCTCGTACTTCTTCCTGTTCTTCTTCACATCCCGGACCAACCGTTCCGAGCACTTGAAGCGATCTGCTAGCTGCTCATGAGTCACCTTCTGATCCATCAGCTTCAGCATCTCACACTTGGCGCTGAAATCTGGCCGCGCACGAGGCTGAGACTTGTTACTCCCCCCATTCGTGGCCTTCGGACGTTTAGATTGTGCCTTCCCAGTGCTGTCTGCTGCTGACACTTTGCGCTTGCCGGCTTTGGCGACGCACGCGCTGCAGATGCGGTGATTCTCGTTGCCTACATCAACCACACTGCCGCAAATGCCGTGCAGTCGCCCGCCACATCCTCCCTGGCAGCCGTGACCATGAGGGTCTTGCGGCGTGGTGTCCTGTAGTTGGCACAGTTCACCTTCCGCACAGGGCATGGTACGCCCCTGTGTAGAGCTGTTCGGGTCTGCAGCAGCACGTGTACCCTATTTCTGTGTGTGGAGTCTATGTTTTCTGCCCTGGGTTGTGCGTGTGTTTTGTTTTTGCGTGCGGAGTACCGGCACTATTGGGGGTGACAGCAGTGCCGAACCGGCACTATNAAAAAACTCTCTCTGCCGGGACTCGAACCCATGACCTGGCCCTTAGCAGGCTGCGAGGCTACCCACTAGACCACCGGGGCGACCGGTGTGTATGATGTGTGTGTTTCGCGCGTGCGGAGTACCGGCACTATTGGGGGTGACAGCAGTGCCGAACCGGCACTATATTGGGCATGCTTTAATTAGTGCCGGTCTGGCACTATTGAGAGCTCCGCCTGTGTGCAGAGATTTTACCGGCACTATACCGGGCATCTGGCACTATTCAACCGGCACTAAAAGGGTCCCTCGACTGTACTCCAACCCGTGGTCGCACAGAAGAGACCCTCTCTACCCTCCCCTCCTGCGGTACTTTGCCTTCAATTTTTAATGCGAGAAGAGTTCAGCACTCTCTTCCCTCTGTGTACACACGAACTAGCGCTATCCACTAGGCCAGGAGCGGAAGCGAGAGAAAAACTCACTTTGCAAGAAAAGCTCGCTTACGCCGGGATTCGAACCCCTGACCTGACCTTTAGAAGGTTTCGAGTTTACCAACTAGATAGACCACCTGGAATGGATTTGTCCGTGCATTGGCGGATTCGGCATTATTCAGTTTGCCAAGCGCGTAAGACTTTCCGGCAATCGTATCGATGGCTACGCTCACTCTGCTCGTCCCTAATGGGCCGGGTATGGTAGCGAGCGTCGAATTTTTTGGACCTTTGCGGGGCACGTCTCGTGGAAATGCATAGATATGTTGTTTACAGATCGTTTAAGTCGCAGGGCAGACATGTACGCCACAACCAAGGGGGAACATACCGCTAAGACAACGGCTAATATTTCCTTCGACCGCTACATGGCGTAGTGGGATTGTCCTGAGACTCTTCTTCCGGAGAAGGGTATGCAATTCTGTCCCAAGCTATCCATGGCCATTTACGAGCCGATGAGGATTAAGAAAGGCACTACCAGCTCGTACCACCCCCAAACAAATGGTGGGGTCGAGCTAGTTAACCACACCATGCTACAAATGCTAGCTGTCGTGGACAGCGAGCGCCACGATTGGGACGTCCATCTTCCTCGTGTCGACTTCGTCTACAACAACTCGGAGAACACCGTCGTCACAGGCCTGGCGCCGAACGAAGTGTATATTGGACGGTTACCGCGTCTCCCGCTCTCCGTTGGTCACCAAAGGTTGGACCGTGACCAGCTCGCTTTTTGCCAGCTTGCGGTGGAGCGCCAGCGGCGAGATCACGCTTTAGTACGAGAGCAACATGAGATTACGGTGTCGCGTGTCGAACGGAGCTCTGCACTGCTGTTGATGGCCTGCGTCAGATACCGTTTTACTTCGTAGGAAGTTGGTGGTTGGGCATGGGCCTACAACTCCGCCGCTGTTGTTCGGCACGGTGTGCGGGAACATACGGATGACTTTAAGCTCAAAGCCAAACTTTCGCTCAACGACACCGGATCGAATAAGATCCTTGCCGTTAGGCCGGCCAAAGCAGAGGATACGCCAGATGGGAAACCTGTGGAACAGCGCAAACTCCCATACTTGGATTTATTTACCGTCTGACATGCTGGGACAAGAATCTCGCAACCATGTCTTTGTCGTGCGATGTAAATCGTGTACCAACTAACAAGTTGCCCCCGCGTAATTTGACCACTGACGATATGGTGGAGGGGTCTATTATATATAGTCGTCTGGATATTGAGAATTTTTTGGGACACCAAATTGTACGTGGACGAAGTGGTGCGGTAGCCGTTTTGTACCTGACACATTGAATGAATGGGTTTGTTGATGCCGTAGTTCGAAAGGGAGTCTCATTTGCAGGGTTACAGGAAGCACATTTTACTATCCTGGTCTCAACGCGTACAAGAACGCCGGGCCTATCGTAGTGCTCGGATAGCTTCGGCCTACCGAGAACTTGCTCGGAACCGGGCCGAACGTTTCATTGCTCCTGGGCACGAGCTGGTCTCGCATGACACTGGTTGGATCGCCTCTGTGTGTCTGTTCAGCCCGTTGGTGCCCACGTCTGATATTAAGGTTTGGATGGACTTTGGGGGCTTGGGCAGATCAGTACTGATGCAACCGGCCCGTACATTGTTCGATTCTTTGACACCCCGGGCCTTCAACTGCTGTCTCTCCCGTCGGAAAGATACTCTACGGTTTTTGGGTGTTCCCTGTGGTTCTTAGTGTCTGAAATAACACCGTACTCACGGTTTGACCAACCCCTCCACGGATGATGGCAATATCTCGCGGACGCCAGGCGTCGTGGCTCAGCTGGCCGTCGCCCCATGCGAATCTGTGCTTTGTCATTTGGCCGCCTACGGTCCGCTACATTTCCTGTTTTGTTGTTTTTCACACGTGGTACGCCGTGGTACGCTAGCGCGTGCTTGGATGGTGTGAGCTTCTTTATCGTTGTAAAAGTCACCCCGACCCTCGCGTTTTCGCTTCAACCGGAGCCCGTTTTGATTCCCGCTGGTTCCGTCGTCGGCGATGTGATTCTCAGCAGCAGTCACTGACTGTGTGGTGTGGGGATGGTTTGGAGTACTTTGTCGGGGATTAACCAATCTTTTTCCGCAACTAGCGACAGGTTGTTCGTGTTCCTGTTATGAACAATTGGATCAGTTGAATCACGATGACCGACCGTGTTGGCTGAAATGTCATGCGGCGGGATAAAAGTGTGGCACGCATGGCGGCGCAGAAGGTTCCAGGAGCGTTACTTGTGGTGTGCTGAAATCAACACAAAGGCGGGGTAACCGGCGGGGGGATCGGCGGGCAATTGGCGGGGCAAGTTTCTTCGTAGAACCTACTCAAAGTCAGGAGAGCGCAGCGATTGGTCGAAATTGGCCAAACGAACCCATTCGCCGGCAAGAAATACGGTTGCAGGTGCCCTGTGGTGCCGCCTAGCCCACCAGCTCTCTCCAGCGGCCGCCCACACTACGCTCATATCTCACCGCCCTGCTGAACTGGCATCCCCGCTGTAGAAGTTGCGCAAGTTCTGCGTCGCCTCGCCTCCACCCCAGCCACTAGTGCGTGGGGAAGGGTCGGCCAGTGACAGGTACCGCCCGTGTCTGGCAACAGGAGGAAGGAATTGAAGAAGCAAGACCAAAATCGTTCCTGACAGGCTGCAGAGTGCACAGCACCCCGGTATTCGATGGGCGACCCTTCGCCTGCTGCCTTGACGGACAGCAGCATGGAGGTCAGTGGGCGGCGCTGTCGTTGCACGCAAACGGTAATAGTTTTTTCTAGGCAAAGGTGTAGCCTTGCGGTGGGGGTTGCCGGTGTTTGATTGGCGAGAGAGGACCACCGCCCGTGTGTTGTAGTTGAAGCAGCGAACTTTCGCTTGTGTTACAGCAGGATTCAGCGGCGAGCACTCAACCGCAAAGAGCTTGAGCAGGCAGGCCAGCGCTGTGAATCACACGCTCACTGTCGGATTCAAGTCGTGCGAAAGCTTTTGGGGTCTTGCGTTCTGCTTAGTTTGTGTGTGTGCTTTTCTCCCACGATGGTTGGCGGGAAGCTGCTCCCTGGTGTTTTTTTTTCAGGCCTCTTCAATGAATGTATGCACATGTAGAAGATGCCATTTTCGCGTTTCCGGGGGGCGAACGTCCAATGCGTACACACGGCAGTGAAGCGACAGCCGGCCTCTCTTGCTACCTCTCCGTCCAACTCAAACCCAGACGCCGCCGCTGCTGTCTGTTGCCAATTTTGTCATGACTGATTTGTGGCGTGCGAAGGACCCGCGGCACACACCTCGGGGTAAGCGAGCTTAACCTGCTCCAATATCACCAACTATCAGCAATTTTGATGCCAACTCCCCGCCCTTTTCCTCGGTGGTGCAACTGCTGTGGAACAAGCGTGCACAGCAGAGACAGCACCACATGTAGTTTTCGGCAGCTGGGGGCGGGGCGGGGGGGGCAGCGTCCCTTGGGTAGACTGGACAGCGAAAGAGAAGTACATGTATTCCTCAGGTGCCTTACGGTGCATCTATCTTTGGACAGTGTAATAACCACACATGGATTTTTCGCGCGGGCAAGCATTGCAGTTCTGCCTCCTCTGCCCCGCCCTTGTCAGAACTACTGCTGTACATCTACATGAATGACATGTGCAGAGACACCCGCTTTGCTCATTTACAAGGAACGACCCCACGCATTGGGCGTAGTCACACTTTCTCGCGTCCGGTACAGCAGTCGGAGTATTTTCTTATTACTTCAGCAGTTCATGGTGGCACTCCTTGCAACAGGGCTCTGTTTTTCCTCGTCCTCCTCTGAATAGTATGAAGTACGACACAACGGTGTCCGTGCGAGGAGGTACGAACTGTGGTACACTGCCGTACGCAGAAGCAGACGAGGGAGGCAGGGTTGGTTCAGAGAGACGTTCTCGCACATCTGCCTGGCTTCGTGAGACACCCTGCCGCGTTCACCCATCTCTCTTCCCTCAGCACATTTGACGCCCTCCTTGTTTTTGTGAGTGAAGCGAGCCGCCTGATCCCTCTCACGAAGCAAGATGTATTTGACTTGGATTTGTATGGATTTATTACTTTTTTGCTTTTAGCAGACGATAGCGACAAGCTATACATAGCAAGCTACGTAGCGTTGCATGCAGGCGTGCAGTGGAGTCAACAACCATTGATGATCTCCAAATATGTACAGTCCCCGACCGTTCGGCCTCCAACCATCAGAAGAGCAGGCTGCGCAACACGCGACCGCTCGCCGACGTTCTGAACCGGCAAGATTGCTAGCCACTCGAACCACAGGTAGCTTCCGCTGACTCAATGAATCCGTTGTCAGTCTCTCCAAGACTTTGTAGAAAGTACTTGAACATGAAATCTCCCAAGAAGACTTGATTCGGCTGAATCCATTGCAAACAGCAGTAGTCTATCCAAGAGATGAATTCGTTGACGAGAACAACGAATGCAACCGCAGCGTTGCCGAGGTGGGTGCCATGGATGAGACACGAAAGGAAACGTGATGTTTTGCGAATGTTTTCCTACGTGTGGCGGGTGTGCGCGCGAATGATGTAGCTTGTGTGGAATCCGCCGCGTTAAGAGCTCGCGCATTGTTTCGTCCCGCGCAGTCATCATAATAATGATCACAACAGCCGAAGTGCTCGCTCAACGAGTGAGTGGGTGCTTTTTTCTTTCTTTTTGTTGTTTTTTTCTAATATGACCCAACGAGTCCATCTCCTTGTAAGGAAAAGAGTCTCTTTTTATATTTTTTATGAAGTATTCGTACCATCGCAGAAAGAGACTGCATGTTCGAGACAACACCACAGCAGTTGAAGGGAAGGGACTACTATGTTTCATGTCTTTTGGCGGGGCATGGGGCTGGGTGACACACTGGCAGCTGGGCTTACAGGGTGGGATCCTGTGAAGTGCCTGTATGTGCCCAGAAAATTCGCCGGCACTATGCCGGACGGGAATTATTGAAGGTACTGACAATGACTTGGAAATTCAATGTGTACCCGCCGAAAACACCGGCACGATTCCGGGCATCGGCACTATTCAACCGTCACTAAACAGGGACCCCACTGCATTCAATAGATGTACACTTTTTTCTTTTTTGTTGTCGGTGAAGGGGACGTCCGTGTATGCTTCCGGGTGGAGAAGAGAGTGTTCGTGGTTTCAGTAAGCGCCAGCACTTGAGAAATCGATCTATTATAGCCTCTTGTCGAATACTCAAAATCTTGAGCACCGTTTGTGAGTTCTCGGTTCAGGACCCCAACACTCAAACCTATGTAGCGACCATTCGTAGCGTAGCCCTAGGGACAAGGAACACCAGCCTCGCCTAAACTAGAGGTTCTTGAGTGCCGGCGCTAACGGTGGTGTCTGCAACGATGGTATTCTCGCGGACCCACTTCAGGACGTGTCTATAAAGAAAGACGGGGGACAGACGTCGCACAGCAGTCACGCCATCGTCGACCCACCATCATGTAACGACCACACACTGTAGTAACAACCAGCAGACCAGCCGACTTAGACCTACTCCGAGACCAAAAGCTAACGATTATGCGGCACACCTTCATTCATTGCGCGTGTGTTTGCCTCGCTTTCCCTGTGCATAAGGCCGCTGCTGATGCTCCTGCTGGCACAGCTGCTGCTGCTGCTGTAGTGGCCACTACCGTACCGGAGTTTCCCCCGCCGGCCACAGCGGCGGCACCGGTGCCAGCGCCGGAGGCTGTTGTCGTTCCGGCTACTCCCGTCAAGGCCGACGCTCCTGACATCGAGAAACAGATCGTGAACGCGGGCCCTAAGGCGGACAAGCCCGATGACTCCAAGGCCAAGCCCGAACCCAAGCCACAGGTATGGTTGTCGTCGTGAAGTGTTGCGTTCGCGGGTGGGTGATGGCTGCGGTGACGCTCGGCATAGCGTTCCCGGACGTGCTGCAAGTATCACAGGCCATGAACCACTGCTTTGTAGCCCTCAAGGACTATGTTCTGCGTTGTAGACAACACACATAATTGAAAGTACATGATAAAAATATGAGCTTGACAACGTGGAACATTGTCGTGCATGCTGTTTGCCTTGTCTTGTTTTTTTTCCCATCTGTCTTGCCATGACTCTTACAATAACCCTCACGTTTGTCGTCGCATGTCTCCATAGGCAGGTCGAACAAGCTTGCTTACGAAACACCTTGTTCCAACAATATTGCGTTGTCCGTTCACATACATGTACGCAGGTGTCTATCGCCAAGCTTTTTTCCTACGCCGATGGCAAGGACAAGTTGTACATATTCGTCGGGACCATCACTGCGGTAATACATTCCTGGTGAGGTCGATACCCAAACCCTATCCATAAACGGAGGGTGTTTTTTTCAGAGTTTTTTTTTCTACAATCTGTATTTGTCTCGGGCATGCCTACACAGTGGGCGGGCTCAAGTAGCGCCCTAAGGGCTTTTTTCTACGTGCTGTGCTTGTCTATGGCATGCCTGTACCGTGAAGGACCCCAATGTTTTTTTTTCTACATTCTGTGTTTGTCTCGGACATGCCTATGCAGCGGGGGGCCTCAATGTAGCCGGCATGTGCGCAGCGAATCGACGGACGCCATTTAGACTACAGGACGACTTGGCGATTCAGTCCGTGAAAGGGCCGCCGGCGCTATTCAACCGACGTTAGTTAAGGGCCCCCAGCTGTGCTTGGGTCCAATCTGCCCTGAAGCGTCAGATTGTCTGTGAGTGTGAAGACGGCACCACAACAATCGTTTGTTGTGCTTCCACTATCTATAGCCCCTCCTTCTATAGCAACCTTTGGCAAAGAAGAAGCAATCGGTCGTCAGTCCTGTGGGGAAAAGGCTCCGGCCCGTCGAGGACGCGCGGTCAATGGTCTAGCCCCCGCCCACACACACACACCCGTTGTTTTCTGCTTTCCGGCGTGCCCCTGCAGCATGATGCCCCTCTTCATCGCCAACTTCGGCAGCACCCTGGACGAACTCGGCGAGCCTGTTGGGGAAGGCGACGAACAAACGATTTCGGAGAGCGTGGCGAGCTTCTGCATCCTCTTCGGCGTGATCGGCTTCGTCGCCGGGGTGGTCGGGTTCGTCCTGGTGACCCTTTGGAGTATCTCCGGAGAACGCCAGGTGGGTGTGGGCTCGGGTGTTGTTTCCATCGACCACGCTACATTGGCGGCTGACCATTGAGAATACGTCATTCTCTTGGCTGGAAAAAGATGTGTCTGTGTGTGTGTGTGTGTGTGTGTGTGTTTATTGTTGTTAGCATCGACCGCGCTAACCGACTGACCCATCAATACGCATTAGTTTCTGTTGGGTGTGGGTGTATGGATGTTTTTCGCTGCTTGCATTGAACGCATGATTGCAACCGGCTGACCAATCAAAAGACATCAGTCTCAGTGTGGGGGTGGGTGTGGGTGTGGTTGTGGTATTTTGTTGTTTGCATCGACCGCGCTAAATTGCAACCGGCTCGCCAATCAACAGGCGACATTCTTGTAGGGGATCAATAGTGGAAGGAACGAACACCCTTCCTAGTGAATTGATGGGTTTGTCGATAGGGAGTGTGCAGGTCTCAACTACAAGGATAAGGTCCCATACTGTGTGTGTCTGTGCTGCGGTTGTTGTGTTTTCATTGTGTGTGTTGATTACCAGGGCCGCGCCTTCCGACTGACCAAGCAAATTTCGGTGCGTCGTGTGGCATGAGAGGCGAAAAGAGTACTCTCAGTGAGTAAATTTTGTTGTCACTTTTCGGTCATTTTTTGTTGTTGTTCTTTCTTGTTGCTGTTACAGGCGCTACGCATGCGGAGGGAATACGTGAAGTGCATCCTGAAGCAGGACATCGGATGGTTCGACGAGCACCCCGCGGGGCAGCTTCCCACGGCCGTCACCGCCAATATGGCAAAGGTGCAGGACGGCTTGGGCAGGAAGATCGGGGACATCATCCTCAACGGCCTCAGCGGTGAGTAGTAGTGTACGGGCCCTCAGTCAAGAATTATTCCGTTGAGAAAAACTGGCAGAGGCTCAGACTATCACTAAAAATACGAGACACAGGTAGGTCCAAGACACAAAGCTCAGCGGTGTATTCTACCTGATAAACTAAATGACAACCTGTGCTCCGACAGTAGCGGCGATGAGATGAGAAGCTGAGCCGCTCGACCCCACCTTGGCCTTTCGTACCTGCGGGCCGTGTCGAACACCATGCTGGCACGGTGATGATAATGATGGCGGCGGTATTGGTGGTCAGGGCACAGATATGTTGTTGCCTTTGTTGGTATTGCCGCAGTTCCTCGTGTGAAGCCTACGTTTCATCGGTGCTTGGTTCCGTGCGTACCGTCCTTGGTTCCGTGCGTTCGGTGCTTGATTCCGTGCGTGCGGTGTCAAATACGCAGGCATTGCCCTGCTTATCACCGGGATCATCATCAACTGGGAGCTCGGGCTGGTGATGCTCGCGTGCGTTCCCTTCATCGGTGGGAGCGTCGCCGTCCTTTCCAAGCTCATGTCCAGCAGCACTCAGGAGGGGAACGATCACTACTCTAAGGCAGGCGGTGTTGCCACGGAGGTGTGTGTGTGTGTGTGTGTCTATTTTGTTAGCATCGCCGCGCTAACCGGCTGACCAATGAAAGACGTCAGTCTCAGTGCGGTTGAAAAATATATAATGCGTCTATTGGCCACGATCTGGGACCCTGCGAACGAGTGTCATGGGGAGTCTACGCTACTCTCCGGATCAAGACAGATACCGTAGCAATAACAGAAGTGAACTACTCGTGTTTGCCATGGCTGCTGCTGCTGTGGATGTGCGCGTTTTTTTTTTATTGTGTGCATGTGTGTGACTTTTTAGCTGTGTTTCATTTCCTCGACCGCCCTTAAACGGCCGACCTACGTGCGTGTGACTTTCGTGTGACTTTCTTTGATTCCGCAACGGTACAACGGTAAGTGGTGTCGTAGCTATCCGCGACTTTAGGTTGCTTTCCTTATTTTCGTCTCTCGGTTTTGGGCTCCAGGTCCTCAGCGGCATCCGCACGGTAGCCTCGCTCAACTCCGAGGAGATCGAGCTTGAGCGCTACGGCAAGCACCTGGACGGAGCCTACCACGCCGGGGTGAAGGAGGGCATGGCCAAGGGCCTCGGCAACGGCATGCTCTTCACCTCCTTCTACATGAGCTACGCTCTGGCCTTCTGGTTCGGCACGAAGCAGGTCAGCAGTGCAACGGCAAAGGCGGTGATTGGTTAATCCAAAGCGTGCAAACGGTGGTGGATTGCTACATGCAGACCGGGCCGGAATCGTGAGGTTTCCGTTCAAAACAATTCGAGGATTGGTTGGCCGTATACTATTATTTGATATTCAGCGTAGAGGCTCAATGTAGCATTGAGGCTCAATTTTTCATGAAAAGGAAGAATGTGGGGTTACACAACACAGCTAGGTCAGCGGTAGGTAGATCCTATACACCAGTGTCATGAAGTACAATATCCTGTGCTCCACGTCCACTCCAGCTCCAGCTATTTTCGCCCACGAACGCGCTCTTGGTTTTTGCACAGTACAACTCCCGTCTTTTCTCCCCTTGTGTTGGTGGTCGGTTGAGAAACAAAACACCCCTCCGCACACATACACACATGTGCCGAAGGCCATCCCTTCTTTTTTTCACTGAACAAACAGATTCATATCGTCCACAGGCAACAGTCCAGGGTTGGTTACCAACGAATTCAGATTTTTTTAACGACGAGTTTTGCGCGGACTTGTTCTCAATTACCCCGCGCTGTGCGACCAATGGATTCCATAGGTAGCTGACGGGGACGGACGCTCAGGAGGGGACGTGTTGGCTGCTATCTTCGCTGTCCTCATGGGCTCGATGATGTTCGGGCAGACCGCCCCCGGCATCGCCGCCCTGGGCGTCGCCCGCGGGGCCGCCGTGGAGGTGTTCGAGGTTCTTGACCGCGTGCCCCCCATCGACTCGTCCTCGGAGAAGGGGCTTAAACCCGCGAACGTGGAGGGGCAGGTGGTGTTCGACAGCGTCGGCTTCAGCTACGTGAGTTTTTCCGTGGGCCTGTGTTTTCTTGTTGGGTAGGTTTGTTAGAGTGTTGTTTTGGCTGTGTGGTTTGGGCGGCGACTATCCTCGCGTTTGGGGAAATTCCACCAGCAATATTGTACGTTTGTAGCGGAAAGAACGTTTGCAACACGAAAGTTAGGCATTTTGCTTTCTTGAACAACCCTGATGTGTTTCGCTGTCTCATCTCTCTGTCTGCCTCCATCTCCATCTGTCTGTCTGTCTTTCTCTCTCTCTAAGTCTCTGTAACTCTCCCACGCACACGTTTATGTTTTCTCTCTTGTCACCCTCCCCTGTCTTGCTGCTCTTCTGACCCTCTGCCGGAACCAAAACGGGTAACCGCCCCTCACAGCCTGCCCGGCCGAACGACGTGGTGTACGGCTCCCTCAGCCTGGAGGTAGCAGTCGGCAAGACCCTCGCCCTAGTCGGGCCTTCCGGCGGAGGAAAGTCCACCATGACCAAGCTGCTACTGCGATTCTACGACCCCACCTCGGGTACCGTGACTCTCGACGGCACAGACATCAAGTCTCTCAACGTCGCCTGGTACAGACAGCAGGTGCGTTATTGCGCTGGTGGTACTTTATCAAGATGTTGTCTATTACAACTCCCATCTCTATCCGTTGATAAGGGTCTATAGAGTGGATTAATCAGCGATGAATTCATAGCGTTGACGGAACACTAGTATACTAGGGTAGGGGCAGAGTGGTAGATTAGGGGTGTGATGGGGACGGATCTTGGACTTTTGTTCTCCCTTCCGTTCCAGTCTTCAATGGTGATTGTTGATGTTGTCGTTTGTTTCTCAAGCGTTCTTCGTCCAACGTCGTCGTTCACGTTTGTACTTATTCCAACCTTCATGCGCGTGTTAATTGATTGTGCCAGATCGGCTACGTCGGGCAAGAGCCGGTGCTATTCGCCGGAACGATCGCGCTCAACATAGCCAACGGCAAGCTGGGGGCCACGCAGGATGAAAGTGAGGCACTACCGCCCATCACCTCCTCTCTCTCTTGATTTTTGTTGCCGTCCGATTCTTTGCTGTAGCACTCCCGTCTCATTCCCAAGTAACGACCCCTTGGTGTCAAGTATTGTCCTGTGCCTGGAGGTAGATGCCTCGTTGTATGTTTCTACCCTTGTCTGTCGTCCTTCGGTAAAGTTTGTTTATTTCTCCTCTCTCAGCCTTGTCTTTACGAAACCCTACAAGATATTTCTCCAATTTCAAATGAATGAAAAAAAAGAAGAGTTGAATTGTGCCTCTGCCGTACTGCCGTTGTGCCCTGGATGTTGACGTCTCTAGTCTCCAGCTGAGCCTCAAAGCGGTGTCGTTTTGTGCTCTTGCCGGATATGGCTCTGCTCTGATTGTCTCGTGTGCACTGCGCACACATCCCTCGCCATGTGCACGTACTGACACGTTCGCTGCTTGCTCCGTCTCGGCTCTCGGACCTGCCTGCTGTGGCCTGCTGTGGCCTGCTGTTGCGTTATCGTTTGCCATGGGCTGACATGGATGGCATGGCAGTCATCGCCGCCGCCAAGGCTGCAAACGCGCACGAGTTTATCAAGGTGAGCTCGCTTGTCTGTCTCGTGGTTGTTTCAGTTTGTCTCCGTTTGTGCATGTACCTCGCATGTACCTCTTGTATCCGAGAGATACAATTGTTTTGTGTGTTAATGATTCGTGATTCGTAGCGTGCCTGCTTTGTACTTTCGTCTGCCCGGGCTTGTATACATACTGCTTTGCGCTGAACATTTGTTCCATCTGTGTTTCGCGACAGCTCTCATTATCATTATTTGATTTTATTTTCTTCACTTTAAATCAGCGCTCACAGCACTGGTGCCGTTTACTTCAACCCGTGGTCACACAGAAGTACCCTTCTCTACCCTCCCCTCCTGCGGTACTCTGCCTTCGATTTTTCCATTCGTCAAGAATTCAGCACTTTCTTCCCTCTAATAACACACGAACTAGCTCTATCCACTAGGTCTGGAGCGGAAGCGAGAGAAAAACTCACTTTGCAACAAAAGCTCGCTTACGCCGGGATCCGACCCCCCGACCTGACTCCTGGAAGGTTTCGAGGTTACCAACTAGACCACCGGGGCGACCGGTTTATGAGACAACCTGAACATTCGATCCTTTTGTCGCACGCGATTTCACGGCGTTATACAGGGACCTCACACCCCTGTTAGGGCCCAGCACTAATGTAACTCGCTTCGTGCTTTGAATCGATCGACTCGCGTTGCTCATGACTTCTCGCATAGCTTATCGGCTCTTATACAGCGATCAGCCACCATACTGTTGACTCGCTTCGATGGACCCACGTGATTTGTGACGTCGTCTGTCTCGATCGCGGCAGAGCTTTCCGGAGGGCTACAACACAGGAGTCGGAGAGGGAGGGTTCCAGTTGTCTGGAGGCCAGAAGCAGCGCATCGCCATCGCCCGTGCGATCATCAAGGACCCGGCCATCTTGCTCCTGGACGAGGCCACGTCCGCGCTTGACTCCGAGAGCGAGAAGGTTAGCTGTTGCTGCTGCTGCTGCTGCTGCTGCTGTTGCTGTGATTGTTGCTGTTGCTTCTGCTGTTGCTGTTGCTGTTGTTGTTGCTTTACATTACGTGACCTTTGTTTCAAACGTCTTTGACCCTCGACTCAAACAACCACAACTCTTGTTTTCAATGCATGACAGGTGGTGCAAGCCGCCCTGGACAAGCTCCACAAGGATAAGCCCCGCACGACGGTGACCATCGCCCACCGTCTGTCCACCATCCGAGGCGCCGACAAAATCGCCGTTATCGACAAGGGCGTCGTCGAGCTGGGAACGCACTCCGAGCTTCTCGCCCTGAACGGAGTCTACCACATGCTGTGCACTAGCCAGGTACAAGTAGGGCGAACGGGGGCTGGGTTTTGATGGGGGAGGTAAGGGGATTGCGGAAATGGTATTAGAGGAGGGGGGGGGGGGGTACTCAAAGCTCTCTGGCTCGGGGGGGTTTTT